TCTTATAGGTCACGACGAGCTGAGTTCAGCGGTATTTTCAAGTTGGGAAACACTCACCTTAAATTCGAATCACGACCAAAAAACGAAAGAAAGCGAAATCTGGTTTTTTTTTAGGAATTTTATGGCAAGTACCGTAAGGAGTTATATTAGAGAAAGAAAATCTCCGAGTATGCTATTATGACTATTGGCGCGCTCTAGCGTGAGATATTTTTTGTGCGGAAATGAAAAAGTCGTGGTCCCACGCGGAGGACACGGAAAAAATTGTTTTGTCGTCAGTGGGTTCATGATGTTGATGTTCCAGACTGTTGTTTACGAAAGTATATCACTTTGAAAACTTATCCGCCCAATGATTAGTTAACATCTGGCAATAATGATGCGTCTACAGAGCTGTTAAACAAATGAGCGAGAGTAACCTACTGGCAGTCACGTGGAAATTCTTTAAATAGGCATATCTCGAGAGGCTTCGGCACGCAGTTTCACAAAAACAAACATCGTTTTCCTCTCACACAATAAATTGACAATTACGAAAAAACTTGATATATACGATTTAGTTTCACTGAATAATAAGCGCTACAAGTGCTGCGATCAGCGAACTGTTCTATTCAATCAGTGGGGACATACACGAGAATAATATGATTATTAGGCTTATATGGAAGACATTCGCAATGAAGCACGTGTTTCACATTGCCGAGAGCAATTCGTCCACTGACTCATCTGTTTTGTGGCTGTTTGGTTTGTTATACGAAGCAAGAATGAAAGGTCACATGTGTTCGATGCCAACCTTAATTGCATCAATACTAAAAGGTGACTGCTAATTCATTCATTCTTCCACTACATGTATACAGGGTGGGCTAAACATTACGGCAAGAAGGTAAATTGATCACAAGGAACCAACGTTTACAGAAAGCCCAATCTAACAAGACCAACATATTGGAGGACGGCAATCAAACATAAAACCATAGTAGTTTGGATTAGACGTTTTCCGTATTGAAACATAAACGAAGGCTTCCTAGAAACTCATCGTCTCCGTTGTCAAGGCAGGTGTTGCCAATTTTATCGAGGGTTTCAAGAGCGACTGTCCGAATAAGCCAGTCTAATATTCTGAGTAGCAAAGAAACGAGGCGTCTTCAGCTTGATTTCTGCTATCATGCTTTTTGCGAAAACCATTCAGGATTGACAGAAGTTAGCATTTCATAGACTTTATTCTTCTCGCTTCTCATGCAAAACCGGTCGGACAGCGTATTATCTTCTCATTAGGGAAAACGGTCCACAAATGAAAGCTTGTTACAGCGTTGAACAACGTTTCTTATAATCTTTGCGTTCCTTTCAATTTGCTCGCATCGACCAGCATTAGGACCTTTTATGCCTGTGAGCTCTTCCCTGAATGAGTTTAGCCAACAATGCTCTGCAAATAAGTACGCTCGATAGCAATTCCAGCTACCAAAGGACCTTATCGATAACCTCCACTTCTAAAGCTGCTTCGCAGGTACCTCCGACAAATGCTCGTAAAAACGAAGAACCAACCGTCTTGCGTCAAGACCTAGTCATTTAATTAAGGTCATGATGGTGACCGATGAAAGCTTCATGAAGTTTTGAACTGTCTTGTAATGAACACGAGCAGGTCATCGGAGCAGAAGTGATTGGATTCTGAGGTGATAAAGGATCTTCCGTTTGAGGATCAATATGCATATGACGATGATCAAGGGATGAACATTGAGCTAGCAAAATGGATCGTGGAATATAAATTGAACTGAAAAGCGCTGAATTCTAGAAATCACGAGCGGCAACCTTTTTGCCGTAATTTTTGCTTCCCTGCTATTTGTAAGAAGCTTTCGCAGTCGTGAAAGATTCATTCCGGTAACTTATACTGAATTTTACACAGCCCTTCCTTGTGCACGGATGACTTCTATTATATAGCATTTCTCTTGTTGGTGCGTTTACCTTGCTGAGCATAGTATTTTCTCTTCACATAAGGGTCGTGGCAACGTGTACGGTAGTATTCTTTCGATGCAAAACAGTTGAGAAGAGACGCTGTCGAACATCAGAATTGAAGGCAAGAATAACGATCGGAGTGATAAGGTTGTTGGCGATGATAATCAGGTTCATCAGAATATTCAGGTAGTATTGACCGTAGCCGGTTACGCCTAAGTAGGGCACCGAGATAAATCCTGCCATTTCGACGATAATTAGAACGCTTATCAACACCGTCTGAAATAGCCGCAATACAAATCTTTCTGCGAAGTATTTGACAGCTATGATGATTTTCCGAAAAGACCTTCTTCGCCCCCTCGAAGTTGTAAGTCTAAGTACTATAAAAATTGTCAAACATTTGTTTTTGGATAAGCTATTTTCGATATGTACATAACCCTTGTAAGTTTGTCGATATGGATTTACCAATGTGATAATACTACTTCATACGACATGATGGATGTTCTGGACACGATTCTCCATATTAGGTCGTGAAGAAAGTTCTTGCGCTTTTCGGTGTTTCGTTTTTGAACGCTTTATTTTGTTACGAATTCAAGCAAGCTGCCAATGAGCTGTATGTTTTTGAAGAGCTTTTCTTGTTCTATCTAACAGCTAGGCTAGCTATGTTCCTTATTATTTAGTTGTCATTTTTTGAAGCCTTGAATACGGCATACTCCAAGAGCAAATTTGCATGATTTCCTTTTTCTAGCTCAAAGCAGGCCAGTATGGAGAGGGAGCAGGTCAAGATATTACATACGCAATTGGCTGAGATTCGCAATAAATATGGTCCGAAGCAATTGTTCAAAAAGCTTTTGTAAGAATAGCGAGAGCCCTAAAGATTGTGAGGGTGGTGATCGGAGATTGGACAACGCCAACGATTAGTCGAACGTTCTGGTTGAAGCACGTTTGCACAAATCTATTGAGAGGGTTCCTCCTAAACTAATCGCACTTGCATTGTGTTTTCTTGTTGTACGGGAAGAGCTGGAAAGTCCCAAAAATTCAAATAGGGCGTGCCGCGACAGCTCACCATTTTGAAGGGTCGTTCGCCGCGTTCTAGCTTGTTTCATGCCATGAAAACGACCTGACTTTTTGATCATTTGCGCACGCACGACAAAGAACGGATTCTTTGCTACAGAATACGAACCTTTGGTGAAGTGATCGACCGCGATCAGGCTCTACAAACTTTGCAAAAGTGAAACTTCACTGAAAGGAAGGTTGAGGTGACTTTCATGAGGTCAGCGGCTGGTCTAGCTTTTCGTAACCAGGTGGATCTGTTAATGTGGAAAAAGTACTCTGGATAATGTGTCAAACTACTCCTAGAACTCTGGCACATATGCTCGAAATCTCCTCATTATAAAGGAACCGGCTCGTCCCTGACAGGTAGCTCGGACGCACATTCCACAACCAACCCTGCAGAAGTTGGACAAGATTGGCTACGAATTAGTCCTGCGAACATCCTACTCGGTAGACCTTTTGCCTATAATTTGTCACTTTCTCGACTACCTGGATAGCTTCTCCAAAGAGTTATGCTTCAAAAACCAACATGATGCGGAAAACGACCTCGCCGGGTTCATCGTCTCTAGAGCTCAGTATTCTGCACCCGGGCTGATTCAACGCAGCTATTATTGGCAGAGGTTTGTGGATTCCAACAGTCTTTACTCCAATCAAAAGGTTTCGAATTGAGCCAAGATACAGCCATTTGAAAATCAAGGTCGAAAAGCGCAAGAACTTTCTTCACGACCTAATACATATGCTTCCTCTACCTGCCAAAGGCCCATCTTAACGCTCCTGATTGTTTTTCAACGTATCTGTAGTTAGCTATATGTTATATACCACGCCTTTACTTTCCCTCAAAATGTTGACATTTCGAATGCGTTTCTTCCTAATGATCTGAAAAGCCGTCGATGGAGAATAGGTTCTGGGCGTGTTTATAATATCAGATAGAACCTGGCCGATTATCCCAACCCGCAAGGGAGAGAGTCTTGTTCTTCTTCGCGAAATTACAATTTCGTTCCGAAACTGTTCTCAATTTTGCCGCGACCAGCCTTATTAGAGGTTCTTAGTTTCAGTATTTCCTTGATTTTCGCTTTTATTTTCTTTTATTTTTTCGCTTTTCGCTTTTTCTTCAGTGACTTTCCTCTCCACTTCCGAGAAGTTAAACTCGTCAGTGCGGTGGCTCATCCTGACTTTATTAATTAGGTAAGGGTCAGGTAGGAATAGTCACGGCACTTCCTTCAATGCGAAAAAGTACATAAAATCAATTTTGTATGACATGAGTTGATATGTATTAAGTGGAGCAGTTGACAATGTCCGCTTTCTAAGTCCCAAATTATTTTCCATTATAAGAACAAATAAATGCATGCAGGAACTTTCAAATTTTTCTGTTGACACAACTGAATCTCAGCGCAAGTTTAGTGCGTTGCCTTCCGCCGAGTCTCAATTCATTGGCTTTCTTTATTTCTCCGTCATCTAAAGCTAGAGGTCAAAATCCACGATCTTCGTCGCTCAGATCCTTTACGTCAGTCTTGGAAGAGCTGAAACCATAGCTGAAAGTGCACCAGAGGACTAAGTGTTACTGCTCAATATTTTGCACACAATGAGTGAGATTCGTTGGACGCAGTTTCTTTTTACTGAATTATTTCACGCCAGAACATGTTCTGATCAGCCATCTTCAAGCAAAAGTTTGGCTCGAAGAACATCCGCTCAGTAGCGCCTAATATTTTGCAATATGCGTGTTGAATCGCTCTTCGAATGAATGGTCTCCCATCCTAAGAGATTGTGTTTAGGCTGAGAAACAAAGGCACAAACGGAAGCGACATTTCAACTGTTCCAACCTAATATATGTGTCTTCAAAATATCAGTGATTATTTCAAAACTAACTTTACCTGCACGAAGTATTTGATCTCCTGCTTGATGCGAGTTATCTCGCTTCTGGCGCCGTTACGAGTAGCAAGTCTAATCTTTACATAGACGACCACATACATTATGATCATTAAAATCGGTAGGGTGTTCGATGTGATTTGCATAAACTAAATAAGATTCTTCTTAGATGCAGCACAGTTGCTACACACAAATAGTATCACAGCAGAATATGGAACTGGTTCAAAATATATAAACATAGAATAACTAAACATGAGTACCAGAATACCACTTGTCGATTGAAATATGCTCGAAAAATTGTTGAAAAGTTCAACGAAGATCAGTGAGGCACTAACATAAGTGCTACAGGGTATTTGATGAGAGAGAGCAGAGGAGAGAAGAACATTGCTTGTCTTCTGCTAATGTTGTGAGGAGTTGTGTGTAATTATACTTAAATTTGCCTAAAACCCTTTTAGTTATAATGAAGTACTTGTACAAAACCGCATGGTTCTATAATACAATAAATATCTCCCCATGAATGGATGACTTTTACGATCTAAAAGAAAGAAGAAAGGAACCAAGCTTCATTCAGTGAACAACTCACAAAATTGGTAAAACAGCCACTCGTTTGAAACTCGCCCAAAAACTGCCAGAAAAACTGGCCGAGGAGACGATTCCTCGTTTCTCGGGTTGCCGTTGCAAGGAAAAGTTTTGGTTTTCGCATAAATGGCAGAAACAGTTCGCCCTTCTGTATTTGGAACTTCGAACTCACGACGAAAGGTCTTAGGACGCGGCACCTGACACGAGGCCGCCCAACTATGCACTTCGTTCCGTCTCTCTCCATCCCCCCCCCACCCAGACATCGTGGGAATGATGTTTGCAGTGCCCAAACTGAAATAGTTCTAATGGCCAACTTTGGCCAACTTTAGCTTTCGGAGAACCACACCCAAGTATACGAAATAGATAAAGATTGAAATGATTTTCGAGAAACTCATGGCTCCCATCTCCATTCAAACTTCACGATGATATCACGGTGTTTTGTGTTCCAACTGGTGAAGCAATTATGTCGTTATCCCAAAGATGATGGAAATGAGTCCGTATTTGTTGAGTCGAAACATTTATAGGCTTACTGTCCTTGTCTTTAGATATATACCTCGGGGAATAGACTTGAATCAATAACTGGTGAGAAACTGAGTGCTCCTAACTTTGACTTGCAGGTTTTAGTTGCAAATACTCACGTCTTTGTAATGAAAAACATCGGGAACACGATCGCTACAGTTGTACCAGAAGTAAAAATCTGAAAGCAATCAAATTGGCCAAGCACTGTTAAATGTAATATTCTGACGGATTATGATTGAGCGGGCTGTTGGCTCCTCTTTGAGCTCGCACACGCATGGAGGACTGTAGGAATGCCGATCGTTACGTGTAAACTCCGAATCCAGATCATTCGGTCCCACTTGTTATTGTTTGTATTCGGTTATAAAAAGGAGAGGTGTCGAACACAGAGTCAGGTACTCTTAGGCTGCATTTGAGCGCTGCGCATTTTTGGTCACTAGGGTGGGTGTCGTTGTTTTCCTGTAAATAATTTGCTCATGTAGCGCCTGGCTCCAATGTATAGGCCCGCGCTGCAGCCTACACAATGTATTTCTGGCCCTACATGAGCTAAATGCCGCCTTACCTTGTTTTTCAGCTTGCTAAGTTGGAATGAGTCAACCGCCGCGATTGCAGACTGGTTCGATTTTCTTACGGCTTCTGTCATTTTTTTATAGTGAAACATGCAATACAAAAAATCTTGTTCTCAGAATGTACATCAACAAACCGTCTTTGGCGAACTGCTTGCGGCATCCAAAGTAATTTGATAACCCAATAAATAGGAACACAATAATCCAAACGATAACCGACATACTGAATTGCAAAAAAGAATAGTCATTCAGATCATGTAACAATACCAATTTAGATATTCAGTCCAATTCAAAAATATATAGGCACCTCAAACTGCTGTTTCAAATCAGGGTAGAGGATACGTACTTAACTTGCTACCTACTTTATTGAATCCAGCATGCTGTGAAACTGTCCCACTTTATATCTGCGAGCAATATCAGCCTGAAAATTTCAATAGAAAATTTTCTATATGCCCCCTGTTTCAAAAGTATAAAGACACCCTAGGCGGAGTTCAAGAGTAAAACTTCCCCTCCTTATCAAGTCATTTGCAATTCTGTGGTCAAGCTTAGTGGAAGCACACTCCTATTCAATGTGCGTGAGAGAGTTCCTACATTCCGATGGTAGCGCGAAGTCTAGGAAGCACCCATGAGGCTTCCCCAATTGTTTCTGCTTGCCATCAGTGTATTTCTGCCTAACAAAACCCCCCATATGCCTGCCCTAACATCGATTTCGCTGACCTCAGACCTCTCTTTAGCTGATCGGCTGCAGGGGTTGGAGGATGTCAAGTACATATTAGGATATATTTCTACTGGCGATCTTTACTCAGGAACGACAGTAAATGATCAGCAAGGGCATCCCCCTGAAAGGTACAGTCCCTCCCACATAATATAAGCCTTAAAGAGAGAAGCACTGTTGTGTAATGCAGCCTAGAGCATCTGCGATGCAACGAAGTGACCTCGGCTGAGAACCAGGGGCTCTTTCATAAAATCCCTCTATCAGCTGTGATGCACATCCTGGATAAATTTAGACCTGTTTCGTGGTGCTTATCCACTCAAAGGACCTTCATGATGTACTTTTGCACAACGTCTTTAGCTGATTTGTGTTTTCCAGATGGTAATTCTTGATGCGGGAAGCGAAGATTCACGGTGGTTCGGGCTGAGTGAAGTGCAGAGCTAGAGAGCAATTGCAGCGTATAGCGAACTTTTCCTTCGAGTGATAATTGGACCTTTCAAAGATGCTGTTTGTCTCACGAAAAACTGATGTTGAGTGCCTGTGAGGCATTTGACCTTTGCGAAAACTTGTTCATAGGTAGGAATTGTCCTATGAAGGTGAGTTGTGTTCTTATCAAGCATAGACAAAGAATCGCAAAGAAGGAAGAATAAATTTCACTGTTACGCTCTCCTCGCTCATGTGCCTTAATACTCCTGGAGTGAGGAACGTTTCGATATTTCTTATAAAAATGTTTAAAGCTGAAATCGCTTTCTAAACAAAAGTGAACTACAGCTTTAATAAATGCTGAATTCAACGAAATTGGTGGCAAGCCAAGAATGCTCCATCCTGTCATGGAACAGCTACTTTTGGGTGCTTTTATACTTCTGAAACTTCCCGTACGCCGTTTCTAGCTGTTTGAGTGCCGTTAGCTAAAACAATTCACTCACATTCTTGTTCCCCAATAAGTGAAGAGTTTATTGTGCACTTGTGGTAAAATGAATAACAGGAATCTGTTGAGGCTCATAATAAACGATAGCAAAAACAAACCGTTGAATGCGATTCCTTCGAAAAATAACGGACCATAGTATAGGGCTATGCTATCGCCCATGTACTGAAAAGACAAGATCTTAGTGAACTGATGAGCCGTCCGTCGGATTAAGGTGATATCCACCGTGTAAGGATGCGCAAGAGGGTAAAGGCAAAAGTGATGATGGTTCACGCTCCTTGTCCGTGAATCTTTCGACATGACTTTATTCTAGCAAAATCAACTTTAGGTCGCCTGACGAGCGTGCTCCTTCACCGTCACATTATCTCAAGTTTTTGGGAGGGCACTAAAGTGTAAAGATTGTCTCGTGATGATCGTTACTTCATCTAAGACAACGAAGCACCTGATGCCACTGGCGAATTCTGAGTCTTCGCTCTCCAACTTGCTCCGAAATGACATTATGTGACAGATGAGTACCTGGTCCCCGGTGAGGGAAAGTGGAAACGCAACATAGAGATCAAGTAGAAGGGCACAAACGTCGCACCACTGTAACTGCACTGTAATCACGTAGAAGCTGATTTCGCGAAAGGTTTTCCAACCCTAAAGAGAATTGAAAGAACTATGAAATGCAATGGAAGTGCATTTGAATAAACTGTTACTCTGTAGAGCGTGATGGCGAGAAGCGTGTGTAGTCCTAATCCAATGATAGCTGGGAACAAAATCGAAAGTGATGCTAGAAGTCGAATTTCAAACGTTGCTTCAAGGTCCATCGGACACAGGTGGTCTAAAAAGTCGAGTATCTCAGATGGTCAATCGGAAACTTCTTCATCAAAAGAAGAAGCTAGTGTGACATTTTGAAGATGAAAGTATAGAGCATGAGAAAATCGCAAGGGTTAGCTGTAGGAAGCGAACAGAATAACTCAAAGAGGGAGGAATTACAATTCCCTGGAGTAGTTTCCACTGTTATAGTTGCGCAAACAATGTAAGGGAATGCTAGGCCTAGGTCTCTTTTTTTTCATACCGATAGGAGGTCGATGGTTTATTGCAGTGAGGTGGCTCTACAAGTATTGACTGATCGTCCTAGCGAGGGGGCTGTCCTATCTTGTAACCGTAATTGGCCTCTCAAAAGTAAATAGATGCAGTAAAAGTACGGTGGCCAGGAGTCAGTAACCTCTACGTTGTTACAAGTAGCAACGCGGCGAGGTCGTAGTCTTGTTGAGTTTGTGGGGTCACACTTGTTCCGGCAGTATGCGTGGAACGGTGTACGGATGTGATGTAGATTGAGGTGAGAGCGCGCGGAGAAGATGTGCCATTTTCAGCGTGCGTATATACCCCCCTCCTTCCGCTCGACGGTGTTTTTTTGAGGGAAAAAGTGCTTGTGAATAGGGGGTCGTATGAAACTTCTCGTGAAGGAGGGGGGTCGCAAAATTTTTGCAAAAGGTATCAACGATTAGGGCCGACTTTCGTTGCATGGCTCTGTCGAACAAAAAAAAAAAAAAAAGAATACCAAAAAAAAAAAAAAAAAAAAAAAAACAAAAAAAAAAAAAAAAAATTGTGTGGAAATGAGCTGTGACAAATCGTTTTCACAACCACCTAAGTCAGAAACACTGACAAAAGAACAAAATATTGGCAATTATACAACTGTAGATGTCACAAATAACAATTTTGCTCAGCTGAAACTCATAAGTAATGTGGGTGGAAACTATGCTGGCGGACATGATGACAGACGTTGGATCTCTAATAGCAGGCAGGAATTCGTTCCACACGGAGTATGGGGCGAAAAGATATTGTCGTTTGTGTCAGGATCGTTTTCTCGGGGGCTATGTATATGGGGGATTCACATCGGCGTTTACAAAAACCCTTCACCTTTGTTTAGGCTGATATTCCGTAATTATCACTACTGAACCAACTCAGAAGAATGCAGAGCAACTTCACTGAAAGGAATTCTTGAAAAATGATATCTCGTTCCCAGTGTTCTAGTCAGCGGTCACCATACTCGAGAAAGTCTCGAAGATCGCCATTCGTTCACTGGACAATTTGCGTCAATTTTCTATGGATGACTGAAAGTGCAAGAATTCTTTTGAACGAGCAATCAACGTTCATATATTCCTTCAACCTTGAATTTTTTCCGTGGAAATTTTTTGTTATAGTTTGATTCACTTGCGAGCCCTAAGTAATGCTATAATGAAACTGGACGCCTAAATGGTAAGACTTCGCACAAATATTTTATACAAATATGTTTCCAAATCGTAACACATTTGACCTTCTTTCAGGATTGATTAGATAATTAATGAGAATTTGATGGACACGTATCGGAGGGGGGTGAACAAATAGTTCATTCTGGGTAACTTCAGCCGTGACTGGTTGAGGAATGATGAAAATTTCGGCTTTCAGAATGTCTATGTTCCACCCCAGGCCTTGAAATGCTTGTGTTGCTTATGTAAATATTTATTTAATTTATTGAAATGCTGGAATCTGAATGTAGCGTCGGCAAAAGGCGCGGCCAAATCTGAGAAGGTTAGCCTCAGCTGCTAGTTACCATGTGACCGAGCTCATGGTAACTCTATGAAGGTTCCCATCCAAAAATTCCTAAAACATGCGTAGAGGACCTCTGAAACCCATCGGAAGATTCTTCAGAACAGTCGAAGTGAGCTCACTTGGAAGTTAGGGTGAACGTATCATGTAAAAGGTTTCGCAGGGCGGCCATTCAACATTTAACAACGATGGGGGTACTTCAATCAAAGTCTACTGCACCATCTAGACCATACCATTTTCGCTGTCATATGTGCCTCTCTACACTTGCATGTAGCCACAGCGAAGTTGCTACGTCGGGAAGAAAAAGCCATCTACCTCAGAAATAGCTCCCTATATTTTCCTTTATGGAACCGTGTGGATGAGAAGACGATTGCTATAATGAAACTATGGAATTTCCAGAAAGCATTGCACTCCAAATGTTCCGTCAGTATCTCTCAATAAAATAAATCTCCATGAATCACGGTGATTCGCAGTAAAACGCAAGTATAGTATTCATGAGAGCCATCTCAAATATGTCATTCTACCGTATATTAGTGGTTGTTATTGTGAGACAGGCATCGAAACCCTATGGGGTTTGAATACTCGGAAATGATCTCATTAAACATCTGAAGGTAGCAGATTACTCACTGCAAGTTGTGTGCTGCTGTATGTTGCTGCTTTGTGCAAAGGGAATATTTACAGATCTCCTCCCTAGAGAAAAACTGAGTGTTGACAAATTATCGAAGGAGCCTCCATTTTTTGCGTTTTCAAGTGATACAGCAACAGATACATAGAAACAACTTCAACCACTTGAAACGAAAAAAAAACATTGGAAAGAATAAACCACTCTGTACTTAACAAGTCTCGAAAATATTCAGATCACGGGCAGGAGCAGAGCATCAGGTAACTGCCCATGATCAAGAGGGTGACGATCCGATCCCTGAGATGAATGATAAGAAGAAGGCTGCCAGTAGTATGACAAATAATGCTTGATTCGACTCCTACGGGACTACATGCCAGCTAAAACATGATTCCGAGGAGACAGAGCAAAGTGTAGTGTCGGAAAATGAGTCGAAAATCAGTGCTGGCCTATGTGTATTATTATCGACCCTTATTGGCCGTTATCACTTTTGGCTCTCCCACCACCGAAATGTTCCCGTCCTACCCTCTACATCACTTCTTGGAACCAACGCCTCACTGATGCTGGGACGCGCGCTATGGATATCGTGAAATTGGCGTTTTGGCGCCTCTTATCGGATCTTATCAGCTCGTTATCACTTTCTGACCCCCACCATATATGCTTCCATTCGAGTGTTGCAGCTAAGCGTCCTTTTCGTTTTATTTTTGGAAGAGAATTTCGTAACCAACACAGACATACTTAACGAATTATATATAGTAAGCTGTTTGACATCAAGAGACGATCCAGTGATTTCAAACGAGGACCTCAGAAAACTATTCGTCAAATGATTGATAGTCGCTACTGTATACTGAAAACTCTCGATTTATTTCAAAATGTTTGCAGGTACGCCCTGTAATTGGTGCTCACCCTGCATCTGATTTGATCTTTGTTCCTGGTTTATTTCGGTGTCTATTGTTCATGTTCACTTTATTACCGCTCTAGCCGTACAACTGCGTGCAGAGCGCCAGCTACATACAAATGCATCCTTGACACTCACAGGCTAAGCGAAAGCTGAGTCATCGTGTTGCTAAAGGAGGGGACAAAACTGACGACAATGTCTAGAATACAATCCTGACGTTTAAAAAACAATCTAAAAAACACAATGACGGATATCGCCACAATACTGTCCAGCAATGCGTATTGCTAAAGTGGATAAGCTAGCTTACCTTAAGCTGTAGCTATGACATAAGGGAGAGTACGCATGCTTATAAACCTCGCTGTCGAACAGTTCTTTTCTTCGATATCTTCCTTTCCTGTATTTTATCGTATCTTGTGTAAATATTTTATATTATATAGCTTACATCCGTATATTTTATTTTATTTCTATAACAAATCTAACGCATGTAGCGTTTCCTCCTTATCCAGTTCAGGGTCCTTCAG